CATAACCTGTCGCCAAAAGCTGACAGGAATGTTACAAGAAGAGTAAATTACAGAACAATCTATATCATGGACAAATGGACAAAATTATAAAAGTTTTAAACAAAATATTAAGTTGAATCCAGTAATATAAATAAATTGGGTTTATAATAAGGCACTTAACATTTGAAAATGGATCAATCTAACTCAACAACAATAGACTATAAGAGAAAAAATCATGATTATCTCAATACAGGAAAAATATCTGATAAACAACAAGATTTGTAAGAAATATATATATATTTCATCTTAGCTAAATAAAAATAGAAGGAAACTTCCTCAGTTGATATGGAGTTATCTACAAAACAAACCTGTAAGTTAACATCACACCTAAGAGTGAAAAGGGGAAAAAAGACAAAGATTATATTACTATTTCTTTTCAACATTTACTAGGAGACAATGTAACAGGGAAAAAAAGTTATAGAAGATTTAAAAGGAACAAATAAAATGGAAATTATCACATTGTACACAATTACATAGAAAATCTAAAGAATCCACAAACTTATTAAAGGATAAATATTCAGCCTTCACAAGCAAACTATTAAAACCCGAAAAATATACAGGTAAAAACAGGAGATGAATAAATAAAATTGTGGTACAGTCAGAAAAGGAAACCTGTACAGCAGTGAATTTAACTTCTGCTACAAACACTTGATTCAATCTCACAGAACGTTGAAAGACCCAAGAGCACATACTAGAGACCCACTTATACATTTAAAAACAGGGAAATTAAGCTATGAAGTTAAGACTCATCTGGGTTAATGTTAGAGGACAATGGCTACTTTTAGAGACAAAAGAAATCATGACTTCGTATTTCCTCAGTATCCAACACTATAAACCCCCAAATAGAGCCTATATTCAGCCCCCAAAAGAGCTATTATCACACCCATCAAGCTATAGATTAACTTGTCATTGCATTCTCTATTGTCTATGAACAATTCAAGCAGAAGATTTAAATTTTCATGTTTTCAGTGCATAACATTAAGTTCAGCTCATGGTAGTCACTCAGTACATTTCATTTTTATGTGTATACACTTATAAAGCAGACTGTAAAACCATCTAGGATGAAACCTAACTCCAACACTTTCTCCAAAGCAATGAGCACACTACAGGTATACAGTGATAGCTAGCAGTGCAACCTGTACCAAAACTTGGTTCCTTGGACAAAATGCCCTTTTCAAACTATACAATCACCTAACTTCATATTAGAATTGCAAACAATCATTTTTCTATTACATGTAAAGATTTCCAGAATTTTTGAGTTAGAAAAAAACAATCGAGACCTACCCAAAACTTCCAGTAGCCTGCTCAAGGTCAAGAATACAGCCAGAAGAACCAGGACTAGGACTCAGATCCCTTGGCTTGTTTTAGGGGTTTCAATCATAATTCCAAAAGACACAGTCCAAACACCATCATCCTAAATGTTGAAATCCCAAAAGATCAAAAGTCCTGAAGTATAAAGTCCTGAAAGATCAAAATCCCAAAAATACACCTCCAGGGTTGGGGATTTAGCTCAATGGAACAAGTACTTTCCTGGCAAGTGTGAGATCATGAGTTCGATCGCCAGTACCAAAAAAAATAACAAAATTTTTAAACATTGTGTTAAAAGGCATTTATTTACATTTTTAAAGAGTTTAAAGATTTTTTTTTGGTCCTGGGAATTGAACTCAGGACCCTGCACTTGCCAGGCAGGCATGGTGCCACCAAGCTATATTCCCGGCCCTCTATGATGTTTTGGTACACAGAAATCCATTCTGTATGCACTCATATACAGTGTATACCACAAGTTTGACAGAAACACTGGCTACAGAACAGCAGTACCACTGCACTATCTTCTTAACTTGCCAGGCATGTAATTATTTTCAAACAAGTCAATAACTTCACTGGCTTCTTCAGATAAGCATACCTCTTTTTTTCTTTCTTTCATTTGCTTGCTTACTTTTATGAGATACAGTCTTACTATGTAGTCTAGTCCAGCCTTGAATTTGCTGTGTAGCTCAAAATGACCTTGAATTCATGATCTTATCCTAGGATCCTGAGTGCCAGGATTACAGATATGCACCACCATACCTGGCTCTGGCTCTAATTTATTAAAACCTGGAATTTCATCAGCTGGAAGGAATGCCAACAATGACAAATGACACATTTAAACTTAAGTTTGCATCATTACCATTTCACATGACCAATATTCATGTGAATTTTCTGTCAAACACATTGTGCTAAGCAAAAAAAAAGAACTTTTCTCAGTAACGCCCTGACATTCACTTCTAGAAGTTTTTTTTTTAAGAGACAGGGTCTCACTATATTGCCCAGGCTGGAGTGCAGTGGCTATTCACAGGCGCAATCCCACTACTGATCAGCACGGGAGTTTTGACCTGCTCCGTTTCCAACCTGGGCCGGTTCACCCCTCCTTAGGCAACCTGGTGGTCCCCTGCTCCGGGGAGGTCACCATATTGATGCCGAACTTAGTGCAGACACCCAATTGGCATAGCGCACTGCAGCCCAGAACTCCTGGACTCAAGTGATCCTCCCACTTTAGCCTCCCGAATAGCTGGAACTACAGGCATGAGCCACCATGCCCAGCTACTTTTAGAAGTTCTGATCACACATAATTCCAACCTGTCAGTATGATTTGAGAATTCAACTGAAACTCATTTTCTTCCCTAAATATTGAAACAAACCTTTAAAAAGTCTGTTTTTCTAGTCATTAATAAAGAAGCAGATAACTTCTAGAATTTTTAGACCAAACAAGGGCATAAATTATATGTACCTGATTTTAAAAAAAATGAACACCAGCGATGGTTTTGAAAGTGCCATCTATTAGGCAAAATGAGGCATCCACTGGTTTTTCAAAGTTTGACTTAGTGTAAATACAAGAAGTCTACATTCTTCAACAGTCAAATCTCTAAGCCCATTTAATGTGTTTTCTAACACTAACGGTATATTTTCAAGTGCCTTTGATTCAGAAAGTAATAAACTCATCAGATTCTTTTTTTTTTTTTTTTTTTTTTGTCTTTTTGAGACAGGGTCTGGCTATGTACTTTAGGCTGGCCTTGAGCTCACTTCTTAGCCCTGGCTGGTCTCAAACTTGCAAAGATCCTCCTGCCTCAGCCTCTGTAGTGCTGGGATTTTAGGTGTGCACCACCACATCAGGCTAGATTTTTCTGGGCTAAAAAAAAATTTTTTTTTTGGTCTTTTTGAGACACAGTCTCTCTAGGCAGTTCAGGCTGGCCCTGAGCTCACTTTGTAGCCTACGCTGGTCTCGAACTCAGTACAATCTTCCTGCCTCAGCCTCCTAAGTACTGGGACTACGGTGTGAGCCACTCTGCCTGGCTTAAAAAGCATATATTTTTAAAGTAAACATGGTGGTATGGACAAATGTACAGAAATAGTACAGAAGTGAATAATCTGAACAGAGATTGCTTGTATTTGTTACCTGCATTTTTTTTTCTTTTTTTTTTTTTTTTGGTACCGGGGATCGAACTCACAACCTTATGGTTGCCAGGCAGATGCTTTGCCACTGAGCTATATCCCCAGACCCCTATTCTCACTTTTTTGGTCTTAGAGACACTGTACTTTTATTTAGAGAGAAAATCTGATCTATAAATTTTCTAAGCATATGTTATCCATCTGAAAGTCTGGTTAAGGCTGGGGATATAGCATACATGAGGCTATAGGTTCAATCCCCAGTATTACAAAAAGAAAATCTCGTTATTACAACTAAACAATATTTTTTTCACAACACCAATAATTAGCTTTCAAAGTTTTACCTTTCACCATGAAGTGTCCTAAGAGCACCAAACTCATCACAGCCTTTTTTCAAAAGAACAAACTCACAGATTCCTTCCATTGTGTTGAAAGGAACACAGTAAGAAATAATAATCAGAACAACAAAGTAACAATATTTTCCCCAACAGCAAATCTATCTCAAGGTTCTCCAGAGACAAAACCAGTAAAGTATAAGAGAAAAGTTATTGGGGGAATTGGCTCACATTATTATTGTGGCTGAGAAGTCCCACGAAAGACAATCTGAAAACTTGAGATGCCAATAGCATGGCTTAGTCCAAGCCCAAAGACCTGAAAAGCAGGGAAACCAATGGTGCAAATCTTAGTCCAAGACCAAAAAAGCCTGAGGACTAGGATCAACTGATGTTAAGTCTTAGATGCCAAGAAGCTGATGTTCACAACAGTTGCAGAAAACTCTGTCCTACCACAAAGAGACCAATTCACTTTCTGTAGCTGTTCTCTCGAGACCTCAGGCATACTGGATGATGCCTACCCACAATGAGGTGGATATTCTCCACATATCCAGACTCAAGATACTAGTCTCCACTGGAAACATCCTCACAGACAGGCCCAAGATAATGCTTAACCAGGTTTGTTAGTGTACATTCTACCTAACAGGATGAGACTTTCATCTACACAACTAAAAATACACTTATCAATTCCCTAGTATGCTGCTTTCTATAGCTCTTAAATTAGCCTTTTTTTCAGTAGGAATTGTGATTTTCAAGATTTTGGCTTCCAGGATTTCAACATTTGATACTGTAATCTTGGGCTGGGGATATAGCTCAGTGGCACAGTAACTGTCTGGCAAGCACAAGGTTGTAAATTCGATTCCTGGTATCAAGAAAGAGGAAAGAAAGTGTGAGAGGAAGAAAGAGAGATTGTAATTTGCCTAAATTGTGATGGGGGAAGAGTTAGGACTTTTGGGATTTTGATCTTCTGAAATAGCAACATCTGGAATTATAGATTTGGGGATTGTTTTTCAGTATAATGACTGGTACCATTCTCTTAGTGCTTCTCACAATCCATTCAGTTTTCTTCTTGTATCATGTGCTTTCTCAAAATGACACAACTACTTTACTACTATTTTATATTTAAATGTTTAACATCAGTTGCAAGACTTTTTAGAAATCTCATTCAAAGTTTGGCTCAAACACATGAATACTAAAAGTACCAACAAGTTCAACCAGGAAAACACCATTTCCAGTTCCAATATCAAGCACTGATGCATCCAATGGGATCTTGTGTTTCTCCATCCACCTTATTAGTCGAGTCATACTCTCTTCACCAAACCTGTTAAAAACGGAATCAGTTACAAATGACAAATAGAGCAAAAGTTACAGCTATATTCCACTTAAAGTGTTTATATCATATGCTCAATTAAGGCTTTTTTTGAACATAAGTACTATCTGTGACTGTGTGACTTTTGTCTCTATAGTTACTTATGAGAAAATACCTTCAAAAATAGAACAGAATAGACAAGTCGATTACTTGCTACATGACTGCAGAACAGACAAGTCAGTTTGTTAGCAATAACACTCGAAAATATTGTCCCAACATCTGTTTTCTTTCTTTCTTTCTTTCTTTTTGTCTTTTTTCATTTTTATCGGTACCGGGGATCAAACTCACGACCGCCTGCTTGCAAGGCAGGTGCTTATGCCGCTGAGCTAAATCCCCAGCCCCCAACATCTGTTTTCTTGATCAGTACAGGCTGATGGATCAAAATTATTGCTTACTGATAAAAGACAACTACAGAACAAAAGTAATTTCCCAATCAATTTAAATGTACATCATTAGAAAGAAAAGATACTTTTAATTCTACCCACTTAAGCCAGACTCAATCCAGGATTCCTAGACTTTTAGGTTGCCTTCCTCTGGTGTAAGCACACATAATCATTTCAATATAATATTATAAATCATAATTTTTCTAACTCACCAGATTTCTCCCACATCTCCATATTCTTGGAAAGTTTGTAGTTCTCTCTCATAGACAGCATTCCAACTATGTAAACAATAAAATACAAGGTGAGATTCTAGAATTAAACAGTGTTATGAATTAAATATATGCTTCCAATATATCACAGAGAAGTTTACAACATTGTTAATAATGCAATAAGTGCACATAGTTCAAATTCTTAACATCCTAAGGTTAAAAGAATAAAGTGTGGGCAAGCAGAATAAGTTTACGCATGTATGTAAAGCACTTACAATATCTGATGCATAAATGCTATGTAAATTTTAGCTTTAAAAAGTACAAAGAAACAATTATCCAAGCTTCTTAAGTCCCAGACCCAGGTCCAAAACTGTGCAAGCACAGAGTTAGTTGTTATCAAGTATCTGGCCTTCAATGCGCAAATACAGTATTTTCATACAGGAAAACCCATCAAAGATAAAATCTACTTAAAGGTTAAATCCTAAACCAGTCTACTTCCTCTGTTATTTGTCTCCACATCCTCCTGTATTATAAGCCTATGTTTATGTTTTCTTTTAGTCCTCTCAAGTACTGTACTTCCCTCTTGTATGCCTTCTCTCTCTATAATCTCTGCTTCCTTTCATCCAAGTTACTTTTGAACCTAAGGTTCCCCCATATTCATTCATTCGTCTGTTAATTCACTAAGCAATTACTGAGCCTTTATTTTACCTCCAATCACTTTCTCTTATCCCCACCCCATGCTCCACCATATCCTCACTCCCTTCCTCAAGTCACCTACCCCTCCAGGTCTCACATCCTTTAGCATTTTCAGCTAAAGTCCTTACCCTTGTCCACCAGCCCTCTTCGCCAGCTTCACCCCTCTTTCTCCCAAACCTGTGCCAGTTCAACACCCCTACAAGGCCTCCCCAAGAGCTTCTGAGTCCGTCCCGCACCCACAAATCCCTTCTCCTGAAAACCCGTTAAACTCCCCGCAAAGTGGCTCCAGGGATTCCTCTTTTCAAACCTTCTTAAACGTCCCAAAGCTGCCCTTCATGCTCCTCCCCTCAAACCCCGAGGATACTTCTATTCCCGGGTGTCCTTGCCCCCCTGCGACGTTCAACTTCCCCTGACTCCGTGCCGCACTCACTGCTCTCGGGTCCCCAGCGCCGATGGGACAAAGCTATCCTCCTCGAGACTGTCTTCTCGGGACCTTGCCGGTAGCGCAGCAACCGTAGCGCAACTATGGTCAACTTCAGCGCCCGCGTTCATTTTCCTCAGCCAAGAAGTGAGCCGTTGGGGCCGCCATAGAGACGCGGCGCAGGCAGAGCGGACACAGGGGGCGGGGGTGGGGGAGGAGGTGGCCTCTCTAGGCGGTAGAAGGTGGCTTCTCTACTCTTCCGGGCGGCCGGCTCTGGTTGGGGTTGAGGGATGCGACTTCTCATTTTCTCCCAGACCTGTAGCACAGGGCTGGTCTGCAATCTCACTTTCCACTCTGTGTTCACCAGCGTGCGTCAGTGGCACCCCCTCCGTCGAGGTCTAAGTGCAACTATATTTGCGTAGCGTTTTTTGTGAGAGACCATTCAAGATACAGCATTTTAGGGGCCTGGGGATTCAGCTCAGCGGCATAAGCGCCTGCCTTGCAAGCAGACATTCATGAGTTCGATCCCCGGTACCGGTAAAAACGAAAACGACCAAAAAAAAAAAAAAAAAAAAAGACTGACAAAATACAGCATTTTGGAAATGTCTAGCAGAAGGAAAGCCAAAACACCAAAAGCAGGCAGCATTCAACTCAAATGGAGTTGAGCCACTTCATGGCATCACATCGTGAGCACATATGGGAAGGGTAGGACGGCCCATCGCATTTTTGGCTTCCTGGCCAAGAAGGTAATTTCATTTGTGGCAGGGATTTTGGCTTGGAAAGAGCATTCTGGCTTCCTCTGACTTGTTACCAAGTGCATATGAGGGTTTATGACCAGGGAAATGAATGCTCTCCGTTTCTCCACAGTACACCAGCCGCGGGGATCAGTGTGAGAAAGAGTATCTCTGAAAGAGTTAGGGAAGATCTTCAGGCAACTATGAGTAAAGGCTGATGAGAATCCATGTGCATACTGATTAAAGAACTCAAGAAAGAGCGTAAATAACCCTATTACAGAGCAGTAAAACCACCTGATACTGTGGCCGATTAATGCTGCTTTGGGCGGCATTATTTTGATCTTCTCTAGACTCTAGAAGCTAAAGAAAGCAAGTTTTGAGTGTGACTGAGTGGGTTTTTTAACTTTTAGGTTCTAATTAAGAAACACCCATGAAAGATAAGCTCATCTTCAGCCTGGTGTCTTGCCAACACTTAATATGTTTTTGCTTTGAATAAACAGTTGTTGGTATGGAGCCCTGGAAAAATCCCACGATATATACAGAGCTCCTTCCATGGCTCCAGGCCGGATTAATCTGGCTGTTTAGGCCTCAAGTCTGTGGGGGTGCCATCTCTGGTCACCCTAGGCAAAGGAATTCTTGGTAGGGGGAGGAAAAGCTCAATCAACTAAGATGCCCATCCTCACAGACAAGTAGGAATGTGCCAAGAGACACAGTCCTTCTGATTGGGTGCCCATTACATGAGGCAGGAGAGAGACTTTAAGCACTTTAGGTTACCTGTCTCCTCAGTTGTCTCATGCCCACAAACTGGCGCCTGAATCACCCATAACTGCTTCAAAAAGTCAAACACTTTTTAACTAGGAAAATCCAGGTTCAAGAGCAGAGCTTTCCCTTTCTTGACTCTGCAGCAATCCGCACCACTAACCACAGTACTTGAAAACCCTCCTTGTTTTCCCAACATAGCCTGCTCTAAACTGAGACTTTACAAGGGATATTGGATGGCTGTAGAGAGCTGTAAATGAGATCAGCCTGGTCAAATCTTACCTGCCAGGCACACGATAAATGCTCAGTAAACATGATCAGTCTCTTTAACTATATAATGAAATTTAAAATGAATTTCTGTAAGGAAGATTGGCTAATACATAGTACCTGTTAAGAGCTTAGAATGGGGCCCAGCATACAGTAAGTGTTCAGTAAATGTTAGCTATCATTTTTTTAGCTATCATTCTTACTATAGGTTGAGCATCCCTAATGCCTATCATTTTTGTTATAGGTTGAGCAAAGTTCAAATTGCTTCAAAATCTGAAACTTTGTACTTAAATATTTCAGATTTGGAAGCATTTCAGATTTCAGATAGGGCAGTTCAATAATTAAATTCTATGCAAATATTCTAAAATCTCAAAACTTCAAAACCCAAAACACTTCTAGCCCCAACCCTGTAGTCACTTGCAATTCCATTCTCTTGCCATCACTCCATACTTTTCTTGCAGCTGCCTGGGTGTCTCTTGTTACATTAACTCAGTAAATTCAGTGGAGCATTATGCCTCTTCTTCCCTCTCTGCTCAGTCTCCTCTTAATCTCCAAACTCAGGGACATTTCTCTAGTCTGTCACCACAGCCCTTGTTTTCTTCTCTCTGCTCAGGCTCACTGCACACTGGCATCATGGTAGCAGCTTCTGAACGAACATCACGGGAGTTGTTCAGCACTTGGCCTCTCTTAAGGCTTCAGGTCTGCCTGGCTCCCTTTTCTTACCCCAAAAGGCCTCCAAGACTCAGCCAATTTTTCTTTCCTTTAGTGTCTGACATTATTCCTCCCTTTCCTTTGCATTTTTCTTCCTGATCATGGACCATAGAGTTAAGCCAATTTGAACTTCAATCATAATTTAATGGGGCTGGGAATATAGCTCAATAGTATAAGTGCCCACCTGGCAAGCCTAAGGTCATGAGTTTGATCACTGCTACCAAAAAAAATCATTAATTTCTTCCAGGAATGACATAAGGAAAGTGACTTAATTTAAACCTCTTAAATCTCAGTTTCCTCAGCAACAAGTGGGCATAATCAAAATGAAACTGGCCTTTCTCATCCCCATTTTTAGACCTATCAGAAAAGAGCATGGCATTCCTATGCATATATATACAAGCAGAAATAATTATATTATTTTGATATATATAAATGGAAACTTACTATTTGCAATGTTTGCAACTTGACAATATTGTGGCAATGTACTTGGAGGTCTTTTCCTGTTAATGCCTATAAATCTCCTAGCTTCTAAACTACTTATTGGTATCATAAATTGTCAGTGTGTGCTGGAAACTTGTGTTAAATACATGCAATTTATCATCTTAGTTATGCTTGAAGAAAGCCACACAAGTTAGATACTAGTATTGCACATGTCATAGATAAACCTGTTCATAGAGAAGGCCCAAACATACAGAGGGAGTGCCACACCGAGATTAGAACCCAAGCAATCTCACTAAAGCCTTCACTTATAACCACAATACACATTAGTATGCTGTATTAACATTGATGTTTTGCTGAATTTTTTTTTTTGAAACAGGGTCTTTCTCTGTAGTCCTAGCTAGCCTTGAACTCACTATGTAGCCTAGGCAATCCTCCTGCCTCAGTCTCCTGAATGCTGGGATTACAGGCATGCACCACCAAGCTTGGATTACCGAAAGTTTTTATGAAGATGTCAACCACAAGAGATTATATCACACAACACTTGTTCCTAAAAATTCTTTATCCCATAACTCTCTTCTCCTAAATTCAGAATTATCACTGTGCCTACTCATCTCTTCCCATTCTTGCTCCCCTCCTACCCCAAACTGTGCCAGTACATCTGGCCCTATTTCTTTTTTTGTTCCTGTATTCCATATTTTTTGGAGGGGTGGATCACATCCAGGGCCTCTTGCATGGTAGGATAGTGGTCTACCACTGAGCTACATCACCAGTTCAGGGAGGGATAATTCTTTGTTATGCGGCCTTTCTTGAGTTTCACATTGGAAAATGTCTCCAAATATTGCCAACACTCCTCTCAGGGACAAAAGTGCTACCAGTTGGGACTCCCTGAGTTAATGACATTATGATAACCAGGAGAGAGATGAAAGTGGTTTGGACCAATGTGGCAGATGTGCTGGTGGTGACTGTAGGACTCTGGAGATCTGTCTATTGATTGAGACAGTCTTGCCATATAGAGTCTGTCAAAAAAAAATGGAAACACACTTCAGCAGTTCACCATACTAATAAATGTGTGGAAGCTAATCGCTACCACTCTGAGGACTCTTGTTATTGTAGAGACTAAAGGTAAGTTGTATTAATATCATGATGTCTCACTATATTTAGTATTAAAATATTTATACGAGTTTTTCTTTTCCTGACGTACACTTTTAAGACTGTAGTTCAGTTTGGCCTGGAATTCTGAATGTTCCTGCCTCACCCTCTCCAGAGATGAAATCACAGGCATACACCACCCTGCTGGCAAGGCTCTTAATATATTTTGAAGACCCTACTAGCTGATCACATGTAAGGTGTGAGAGAAAGGGAGATGTCAAGGATAAGTTCAAAATTTATCACTTGAGCAACTGTAGGTGAACCATCCTATTTCTTGACTTTTATAAATGTAAAATGGGGAACTTTGTGGGAAATCAAGAGGTCAGTTTTGAACATGAGTCAACAAACTGAAAAATAATTAATTCCTTCCCTAAATTTTCTAATTTTGAGTTTATTTTCGCTGCTATTTATTGTTTGTATCTCCTTCCATATTTTTCATTAAATCTTTTTGTACCCAGAACTCAATCACCCCTTACCACCTTCACTACTTTTGCCATCTACTATTATGTAACTCCATACTCATCCCATGTTGAGATAATTGTGAGGGAGGGTTCTCTTTCCTCTTTTCCTTCTTAGCACTGCAGTCTCAACCTCGGCAGGTTGAATGAATGGTCTTCATTTAAGTTGAAACCACCTCCTATCACTATTGTGTCAAACTCAAACACATTCAATTGTCTCAATCATCTCCCGCTTTTTATATTTCAGTTCCATAAAAGTTGGCTTTTAAAACTGGAAGTTTTGCTGGCAAAGGGGGCAAACAAAATAGGGAGATAAACACAGAGGAGGCTGACTCTGAAGCTTGGGAAGGGCACCATGCAGGATACTTTTAGAGGAAAGCTTGCTTTCCTTAGCCCTTCGCACTCCGAGCTCCGGCTATTGCTTTCGCCGCCGCTGACTCCATTTCCCAGAATGCCTCGAGGGGAAAGCGGCCGGAAGGCTGTGCGCCCTCCGCGGGGCATGATGGGGGAATTGGAGATTTCCATCATGGCGGCTTCCATTTCGGGCTACACCTTCAGCGCTGTATGTTTCCACAGCGCCAACAGCAACGCGGACCACGTAGGTGCCGGGTCCCCTGCAGTGGCCGCTGGGGCCTTCACCCTCTGCCTCGGGCGAGCACCCGCAGCTAAGCGGGATCCGCTCACGGCTTGTTTCCCCC